TAATGCCAGCGAACAAGGTCATAGACAGTGTTTATATTTGAGGCTAGTTTATAATCATGCAAACGTTAAAGATTCATTATTGATCAGCAAGTGCAGAATTCCACCGTTAAAAGCAACAACTATGCCTGGATTAGAGCTGGTAGCTGCGACGCTTTCATCAAAGATGGCCGTGTTAATACGAAGAGAGTTAAAGGGTTTGTATGAGAATGATATCACCGAACATTTTTGGAGTGACAGCCAGGTTGTCTTTGGGTACATAAGAACTGAGAGCAGACGGTTTCACACCTTTGTCGCCAACCGAGTACAAACTATCAGAAACAACAGCGACCCAAAACAATGGCATTACATACCAATAGACAAAAACCCAGCAGACATTCCATCTAGATGAAAATCAGCTGAAGAGTTGAACGACTGCACGCTCTGGTGGCACGGACCAGCGTATTTAAATCAGCTAACATACTCCATTGAATCAAGTTCAGTAGTACCTGAAAGTGAAGATGATGTCGAAGTGAAAGTGTGTGCAACGCATGCAACGCATACACAAGTGATATTGATTCCAAATATGCTGAAACAACACTCCAAATGGAGTCACGCCAAACAGGTGCTTGCCCGATGTATTTTTTTTGTCACGTACAAATGTCGTGGCTGGAAACGAAGTGGAGAGCTGAATATGAGTGATGTAGAATGAGCCGAAAAACTCATGATCAGAGTAGTTCAACATAACAATTATCAACAACTAAAGAAGTTAAAGAAGATTGACCCATTTGCAGATAACTATGGCGTTGTAAGAGTAGGAGAACGCCTAAGAAACGCTACTCTAACCGAGGATATTAAACACCCTATCATATTGCCTACAAAGAGTGAAATTAATAGACTAATAGTTAGACACTACCACAATCAGAATCACCATCAATACAGTGCCATCTTTAAATACCATCAGGTCAGCTGGATATTGGGTTGTTGGCAGTGCATCAGCAGTTTCCAGATACATCTACGATTGTGTGATGTGTAGAAGATTGCGACGAAAGGCAGAGGTCCAAAGAATAACCGACCTTCTGCCAGATAGACTATCACCTCAATTTACCAACTGTGGAGTCGACTTATTAGGGACTTTGTTTGTGAAGAATGGCAGAAAGGAAGAATGAAGATATGGAGTCCTCTTTACTTACTTAGTGTCCCGTAGTGTGCACATCGAAGTAGCGCATTCACTAACTCTGACTCATTTATAAATGCATTTAGAAGGTTAGTTTCAAGAAGGTGCAGTGAGATTGATGAGGTCAGATAGAGGGTCAAACTTCATCGGTGCAAGTAGAGAATTAAAAGAAGCAATGAAAGAAATGAATTCTGACGAAATAGTCAAAACTACTAGACTTTAATTGTGACTGGATGTGGAATGTCCCAGCTGGAATCCATCACGGAGGTGTTTAGGAGAGGATGATCAGGACAATGAGAAGCATCCATGGTGGCTTGATGATAACTCACAAGGCTCAGTTAAATGATGAGATGTTGGTCACGTTTATGACCGAAGATGAAGGAATTGTGAACAGTAGACCTCTTTGTAACATCGATGATGCATTGACAGCGGCCCTATATTGACCATGAAGCCATGTGTACCTCCTCCACCAGGTAACTTCAATCAAGATGGAGAGTACAGTAGAAACCAATGGAACCTGGCACGGGTAACTGAAATTATACCTCGGACGAGGTAGTGAGAAATGTTAAACTATTTCGTGGCAAAGAAAGGTCAGAATTGCTGAGACCAATTAACAAGGTAGTGCTGTTAGTACCTGCAGATCAATAAAAGCAGTATGATGGTAATGTGAGTATTCCCCATCTGGAAGCCATAGGAACTTGGGTTAATGTTGTAGGCGCCATTAAGCTCACGCGGTAGCCTGTGAGCATAATCTGAAGCATAGCCTAGAACTCGAGACAATTCTGAACTTTAACATCATCTTTCGTCATGATTTTTGCATTTTCATTTTAATTTCATGGATGTAACCCTGCACAGTATTAATCTAAATTTAATGATTTACCAGTAAGCATTGTTGGTTATGATAGCTGAAATATTATTAGTTTAATTAAAATAAGAAATTTACATTGATGAACGTTTAATCTTGGGATTCCTCGCATGGTACCTGTTGCCTAGTGAGGTCATTGTGAAGGTCATTCGTCACGCATGAATGGGCTAGTGAAAAAGAATAGCATTTTAGTATTCTTAAAGTTACTTGATTTTATTGTTGCTAATTGCAGTATTTACGGCTTATTGAAGATATGAACAAGAGTTTTGAAGAGATAGAAATAAAGGAAGCCAGTAAATTCAAGTGGTGTTTATTGAAATTTATTGAATTAAGACCCTCTGTACAATATAAAAACTTGTCTCTTCGTTGACACCGTAGGCCCGTTGCCATCCGGCCCGTTGCCATCCATAGTTGTGTAGTAGGCCTATGCATTGTATTCGCAGAAATTTTATTCTCGACATTTTTGCCAAACTATGTGTGCTGAATAATAAATGGATTGATTTGCAGATTGTAAACAACGACAATTCATTAAAGGCACACGTGTGATTAGCATTCTGTCTTTATTTGTATGTATTCAGACGTACATATGTATGTATATATATATATATATATATATATATATATAATGTATGTACTGTTTTTAGTTAGTGTGTATGTTTTTTTTTTACATTTTTTGTGAAGGCAGATCATGAATTAAAATTCTTGTAGTGTTATAAATTGAACATTTTTTTTTTTTGTATTTGATTTAATTGACTTGCCTTTGAGTGTGGAAATAATAATGAACATAAATATAGTGACAATGATAAAAAAAAATAGCGATGATAAGCTATTATTATTATTATTATTATTATTATTATTAACATGTTGAATATGTTAATATGTTAATGCTGCTACCGCTATAAGAAATAGGCCTATGCCCATACATATATACGGTACCTCACAATTTGTTGTTTTTAAGATATTAAGCCAAATGTATAATCATATTGGTATACCAATAGAAAAAACATGGGTGGGGGAAATGTCCAACTGACCAATTGAAGGCCACGCAAATTAGGCTTGAAGACCCTATAATCTTAACAATAGCCCTAGTCACGGTATAAACAATTAGGAGGATTAGTTTTCTCAGATCGTTAATGTTACTGAGAGCAATATCCTTTGTAGTTTACAGCTAACGAGAAGGGCTTTATCCAAAGTTTATTCTTGATGGTTATTTCTCATGAGCAAATATATATGCTTGTAATAAATTGTCCGCTTAAAGAGAGAAATACAAAATAAATTCCATAAAGTTAATTATACACACATAATATAGACTTGTGGTTATACTATATAAATAACTATTATCATAAATGTGTAGTTTTTCAATTGTAAAAGCACAAGCTATTTCTTTTTATTTTAGAATAAGAATATACTTAAATATAAAATAAAAAATAAACTAGACACTGCAGTACTTCTCTCTTTATACGGATTTATAACAATGTTTATTTCTGCAATTGTCTCCAGTTGTTGTAAGAAGCAGTTGTAAGAAGGCGCATGGACGATTGTTTGAAATAAAATACAGTAAACTACTAATTAAATATTAAACTGGAAAGTAAATTTAATCAAGAAAATTTCTGCTACAGTAGGCCTACTAGTACAAATCTGTGTAAAAACACCAACCAAAATAATATAAATATTCGACATTCCCAAATGTGGCCAAAGGCCGGGTGGCAACGGGCCTGGGTGGCAATGGGCCTAGGGTGGCAACGGGCCGGGTGGCAATAGGCTGGGTGGCAAAAGGCCTGGGTGGCAAAAGGCCGGGTGGCAAAAGGCCTGGGTGGCAACGGGCCTAGGGTGGCAAAAGGCCGGGTGGCTAAATTGCCGTTGGCTAAAGGCCGGTGGCTAAAGGCCGGGTGGCAAAAGGCCTGGGTGGCAACGGGTCTAGTGTTGCAAAAGTCCGGGTGGCTAAAGGCCGGGTGCCAACGGGCCTAGGGTGGCAAAAGGCCGGGTGGCAACAGGCCGGGTGGCAAAAGGCCGGGTGGCAACGGGCCGGAACCCGTTCAGACTGCTATGTTTTGTGTAATCGATTTTACAGGATGCAATGTAAGTATATAATCGTTTAAACTTAAGGGGTTGCTTTTTGTATAAGCTTTGTTGCAATCTATAAACTTGAAGATTTTTGTCGAAATGTGCTTGTGTACCTAGTTAAAGTAACACAATAATATTTTTATGAAGCGATAATTAAGATTTTCTTCTCTTACGAAGTCAGCGCCATTGCGGTACGCTGGGAATAAGCAGAGATATATTTTGTAACGATAAAAAGACGGTGATAACGAGTGAAAGATAATTGGGGTAGGAGAGAGTAGCAATAGGGGATCTATATCACAAAAGAGGAATGATTTATGGTGTTAACCATTTTGAGGGTCCAGGGTAGTCTCACCGATAGGTGGCAGAGGGAAAGTTCCCGGGGACTAAGCTTAAAAGGGGGCCCATAAAATTCGCAGGTAGCATTTTTTCATTTTTTTTTTCAAAAATAATAATTACTATCATGAGCCATCAATAATGGCATGGGTACCCTAATAATTGGCCCATCTAGATTGACAATTCCCCCAAGAAAAATGGTTGCCCCTTTGGTGCAATCTTTCTCGCGCCTGGCGCTCATACCCGGGGGCCCACACCAACCATTGCCTCTGTTACAGTTTCACCTCTTGGCGACCGAGTTACAGGGGCAATGCTCCGTTCGAAGTTTTAGCCATAATTATATAAATTGGTTAACATAATAGTCTTTGTTTGGTTCCGGTGATGGTCCTGTGGACACCCGAGTTCGAACCCCAGTTGGAGCGATTTATTACTTCAATATTCCTCATCTGCCTTATTACGGTTTACAATGTATATATTCAAGCATTACGGCAAGATGGTTTACAGTTTATCTCTTTATATTTCATATCATGCTGACATGACAATTATACAGATATAAGCTTCATAAATGATATAAATTTTTCTTACCAATACCCAGAGATCCTGTGTAAGAAAACAATCGATAGCTAGTGTAAATCCGAGTGAAGCACATCACACCGCGAGTACGTAGACCTAAGACTTTACTCCACGGTATAATATGATCTTATAACGGATCAAACATGGAATTGTGGTTCTTTACCAACCAATCATAATCAATACGATTATGATCTTGTACGTGATTGGACACTGTGTTCTTCCAATGGGTTTTCGCTTGGTCAATGACATTTTACACAGTTGAATGATATAAAACAGCTTATTCAATAAACAGGGTACCGCCCAAACAATATAGAAAGGTATTATTTTTTTTCTTTAAAATTGGTGTTGTTTCTCATACGTTTCACGACCCCGCTCAAAATACTTTTTAAAAAAAGTTAAAAAAAACCCGCTCAAAATACTAAAAAAAAAAAAATAAGGATAGTTCTTGTAATCATTACGTCAAGAATTTTTATCGGTACTAGCATATACCCGTGTTCCGCACGGTGTTGAATGAGTGGGAAAAGGTAGCGATGATGTTCATTGCTGAATTGGGAAGTTCAGGAGGCAATCGTTGTGGATGTTATGGTCACCGTGTCATTATTTTTCTAAAGGACGTCTTTAATGTATTTAATGTTTCGAGTGTCTTTGCTGAATACTGTGCTTGTAAGGAATTATTGTGCAGTGTGATCAAGGGTGGATTTCAGAATACAGTAATTCAATAAGTGAAAAGCACATATATTGCATCGAAATTATAAAAAGAAATTAGTAGCAAAACGGGGCGGGAGTCCTTCCCTGTGACATCCCTCTCCCCTACTGGATCTTTCCCAGTTGTGTTGGGTTACCCTCTTGTAAGTGAATGTACAGCAATATACAGTTACTAGGCCTAGCCTAGCTGGGCATGAGAGAAGTGTTTCTCTTGAATCAAGGTGGATGCATGTAAGGCTATGTATCCGAACTACTGACATTCAAAAGAACCCGTATATAAACATTGTCCCGACGTGTTTATGTAAATTCAAGGTATATTGATTTGTGGAGCTGGCTTGACATCATATATAGGCTGGGCTAGGCCGCGCCTAGGCAAGACCATATGCCGGTGTCTCGGCCTGTGTAGGGCTAGCGGGTATGGTTAGACCGAGGTTATATCATGGCTTGTGCCCAGGTGTTTCTATATTTTTACCTGATCGACTTCTAAAACATGCCATTTATTGCTGATGTTTTGAGCCATAAAACTACAATAATATCCAGTAGGCCTATTTAATGCAATAGGTACTCTGAAGAGGTACGGGAATATGCTTGTCACTCATTTGTTGACGTGTGAGAAGCAGTGCGCGGTGACGTAATGAAGCTGCAAAACATAGAGTGCTTCGATCATTTTTAGACCTAAGCATCGCAGTACAAAATAGATGTGATTAATTGTATTTACATAGATGTAGGCAACTTGCGAAACATGGCAAAACAGGTACTGATTTTCGGTGGTTTTTGGCTGTTTTTTTTTTTTTTTTTTTTTTTTCGTTGTTATCCAATATCCAGCTTCGAAAAGTAGCGGAATGTGGTCGTGACATATAGAAGCCCTAATGTATGAGATTTGAGCACATACTTGCCATCAGTTTCATAGGAGTTAGGTGAAGTTACGCGGTGGCGATTAGCATAATTAATATATAGATAATGCTTAGATACACTTATTATGATTTCAAATTGTATCCGATGTCATCGAGGCGTGTTTTATGTTTTGGTAGGTTGAAATTTAAAGTAGGCCTAGTATTTACCTATTAGGATGGGAAGCATTATTTTTTCCCCATAAAGTTAAGGTAGAAATTATAGAGGAGCTATTTTTAAGTAAGTTAGGTGCACTGATATATAAATATGCATACCTGACTTCCCACTCAAAAGGAGCATTGAGTTTAGTGGTATATCGATCACTTTAACTTGTAAGCTTGGCGTAGCATTTTCCACTTTCGTAAAACCGCCGTGCCAACTCTGAACCACCGTGCCCAAAGTTATGTAGTTTCTACGCATGCACTAAAATGTTGTGTCGTCGTAAACGCGACCGGGTTTGTGAAGATGAACGTAATCGTCGGAGCCAATGTTTTTCGATTTTGACGAACTTTATAGAGTTATATAAAATTTGCGAAAATCGATATTGCCGTGATATTATACATCATACAAGAAACTTTAAGTTTAAAAGGTATAATGAATAACTTCTGAAGAAATTGCGACCACGCACGACTATAGGCCCACTAATACTACTAATATAGCAGTAGCCTTAGTGGGCCTAGCCTAGGCCTATTTTAGCTAATACTACAGGGAACATGCAGTTCTTGCTAGGGCATAGCATAGGCCTAGCTAGACCGATAAAACGGTATCTGATCTTTTGGCTGCCAGCACCCCGCCAGGTGATATTAACACTTTTAAAAAACTACATTCATTGAGACTCCAAAATTAGTGTTTGATCGGTACACTTTTCACAATCTCGATCGCGTTTACGACGCAAAATTCTAGCGCATGCGTAGAAACTACATAATTTTGGACACGGCGGCTTAGGGTTGACACGGCAGGTTTACGAAAGGGCCAGATGCCTCGAGCTAGGCCAAAATTTTTAATCTTAGGCATTGGTAGTCCAGACTCTGAAAATTAATGCACTACGTATTGTAATAATATTTCTATAACTAGGCACATTTTATGTACAGCATGGTCTTTGAATATATAAAAAAGCATATTAATGAATCTTTTTATTTGAGTATACATGGCCTGGAATGGCAAGTGTTATAGCATTCCCCTTAGTACTAATCTATGCCGTATCTAGAAGTCTTGAAATGGGGGTGCTGATTGGGGAGGCAAAGGTGAATTGGGGGAGGGGCTTGATGATTAGTTGAGGGGTGCTAATTTGCAAAATAAGGTGATTTTATGTGCTTTTTAACTACTTGACCGTGACTTCTGGAGGGGCGAATGGGGGGGGGGAGGGTGAGTAATTTTTGACGGGTTTGTGCCTCCCCCCCCCCCTACACTCTGAAAGATATATTGTAAAGGCTTAAAAATGCTCAGAGTCAATAATTACGAGTACTTTGGACACAGTTTTTTAACTTACAATTTTACAATTAAAAATTGTAATGAGAAAAAAAAATAATCACTCTAACTTAACTGACAGTGAGTGTATACTTTGCTGTATTATTTTGCATGACTCATTGTCTGGTAAAATTTAAAGATGTTTTGAAGAATGTAAATCAGTGAAAATATTAGTTTTATTTCCATCTGTTTTTGATCATTTCAAATGAGCTATTCAATTATTTTGATTTTTAAGGGTTTTATATTATTCTGTTTTGTGTTGACAGTCTTTAATAAGCAGCACTACAATATCATCGGTTTTTGTAACTGATCATAATATATCTGCTTGATATACATCTATGCAGGGTGTTTTTATTTAGATTTATGATATGCCTATTACTTCGTATTTATATTGAATATGAACGAATTATTCTTGAAAATCACCATTAAAACAATATATCTGTCTTAATAATAAGAATTTAAGCAAGGCCTAGAGGCATGCCAAGAGTTTGGTGGAATCAGTCCTTGTTTGATAATGGTTATACATAGGTCTAGGTAAATGAAACTCTTTACTAAGTGGAACCATACGCCTTTATCGATGACAGTACTAAGTCAAACAATATTGTACCTTTTGATGTTCTAATTTCCCAGTACTGTACATCGTTCTCGTTTCACCGCTTATCGCGGGTGATCTGCAATGGCAGTCTTGAAAAATGACGTCACTTACATTACACTTCATTGAGTGATGGTGACGTGAATGCCATTTACCGTACCTTTAGCAAATTGAAGTAGAAATACGGTACCGTATCTCTAGCCACGGCGATTTTCAAAAATGCCTTTGCTCGAACCCCACTGCTTTCTAGAGGGGATGTCAAGCATGCATATTTATGTAAAGAATGGCGAACAAACAGAAATAAACACGTCTCTCAGTTGAAGTTTGGTCCGATGGTGAATTTGACTTTTATTGCAGTTAACATAGCACTAATAAAGAGGACAGCGACGTCCTTCAATCACATAGCAGTAATAGCAGGGAATTTAAATAGAATTATGAAAACGCTTCTATCAATGTACAGTCCTCGGAAGGATCTCCAAAGGATGGATTATAAACACTGTGGGCGGGCTATTCCCTGTAGCATCCCCACATTTATATTTATCAGTTCGCCTAACACACCTTAAACAGCGCCCTCTTTAATTTCTTCCCTAACTGTATGGAGAAAAAATAATGCGGACGAATTCCACACGGGCCGTCTCGATTGACTCAACTCGACTATCTCATGTTGTAGAATTCAGGAGGTCAAAAGATCATCAACCAAAGATAAATGTCTCTACAAAACATATGAGATGATGTCGCTGTGTGATTTAAAAAAATACCTTAATATTAACTAATGAGCCGTTTAAAATGAAAAATGTAATATTTGATCGAGCTGCTCGAGTATTAAAAAAAAATTAGTTATTTGATCTTGTGTTACATTTTTATTTTTTAGTTAGGCCTAGATTTTAAAGAACTAAGTACAGTAGTCACTATAACAACTTCCTGAGTACAGGCAATTTTAGAAAGCCTTCAGAGGAAGCAGAAAGAGGAAAGAAAAGAAATTATCTTGATCATCGAATGAAATAGGGTGGCAGTTATTCAGACTTATCAAGTTCGTAAAATGCATTTCAGTAACTATGTCTTCAGATTTCGTCTTCAAAATTCCGTAGCACAACCCAATAATTTGCCTTGAGTGCAAAAATTAGGTATGGAGTTATAATTAATTTTAAAATGGGCCCGATTTTCCTGGGTCCAATCGTCCTTGGGGCCGATTGTCTGTAATTAATGTTGAATTTCAAAACAAAGGAGACAGCATGACAATCCGTTATTCAGACTGCACCGACAATCAGCAGACGACGTCGAGTCGTAACGCGCTGACAGGGAGCCGAGTACGACCACTCTACAGTAACCATTGCCTTGATTACAATATTCCTGAACCGACACGATGCAATTATTTTGTCAATGTACATTCATATTTATTTTTAAAAAGTATTTCTTCGAATATCCTGTCTTCGTCAAATCCTTATAAGAGGGC